GGGTGGGGCTGCAGGGGTTGGGGGGCCGGGGCGGGCGCGGGGGCCTGGGGGGCCGGCGGGGGCGGCGCGGGGGGCTGAGGAGGCACCATCGTCATCACCGGGCTGGGCACGATGAGGTCGGGGGTGACGGAGGGGAAGGAATGGGCGGTCTGTGCCGAAGGCAGGCTCGGCGCCGGCGCCGGCACCGGGGACGAGGCTTGGGTGACGTTGGGGACCGTGGAGGAGCCGGGTTTGGACGTCACTGCCGAGAGAACACAGACGGGGTTGGGGGGCTGTTTCCTTCCCTCTTCTCCTGAGCCGCTCGAACGGGAATTCCCAACAAACCGGGAGCTCGTGGCTCTCCAGGGAATTCCCGTTGCACTGGGAGCTCGTGGTTCCCAAGGGAATTCCCAACAAACTGGGAGCTCGTGGTTCCCCAGGGAATTCCCAACAAACTGGGAGCTTGTGGATCCCCAGGGAATTCCCATTTCACTGGGAGCTCGTGGTTCCCCAGGGAATTCCCAACAAACTGGGAGCTCGTGGTTCTCCAGGGAATTCCCGTTGCACTGGGAGCTTGTGGTTCCCCAGGGAATTCCCAACAAACTGGGAGCTAGTGGCTCTCCAGGGAATTCCCAACAAACTGGGAGCTTGTGGCTCTCCAGGGAATTCCCAACAAACTGGGAGCTCATGGTTCCCCAGGGAATTCCCATTTCACTGGGAGCTCTTGGCTCCCAAGGGAATTCCCAACAAACTGGGAGCTCGTGGCTCTCCAGGGAATTCCCATCACACCGGGAGCTCGTGGCTCCCAAGGGAATTCCCAACAAACTGGAAGCTTGTGGTTCCCCGGGGAATTCCCGTTGCACTGGGAGCTCGTGGTTCCCGGGGAATTCCCATTCCACTGGGAGCTCGTGGCTCCCTGAGGAATTCCTATTGCACTGGGAGCTCGTGGTTCCCTGGAGAATTCCCGTTGCGCTGGGAGCTCGTGGATTCTCAGGGAATTCCCGTCACGCCGGGAGCGCGTGGCTCTCCAGGGAATTCCCATTGCGCTGGGAGCTTGTGTTTCCCCAAGGAATTCCGACCACGCCGGTTCCCGTTCCCGTTCCGGATCGACTCTGCTGGAGCCAACATTCCAACCCCAGATTCCATGGGCTGCCAGGTGATGGCAGCACCGGAACGTTCCCTCCTCCGGCAGCTCCGAGGGCTCCGACAGCAACGAGTCGGGATTTTCCTCTATTTCCCACCCAATCCCTTTGGGATTTTCCTCTATTTCCCACACAATCACTTTGGGATTTTCCTCTATTTCCCACCCAATCCTTTGGGATTTTCCTCTATTTCCCACACAATCCTTCAGGATTTTCCTCTATTTCCCACCCAATCCCTTTGGGATTTTCCTCTATTATTTCCCACCCAATCCCTTCGGGATTTTCCTCTATTATTTCCCACCCAATCCCTTTGGGATTTTCCTCCGTTTCCAAGACAATCCCTTTGGAATTTTCCTCTATGATTTCCCACCCAATCCCTTTAGGATTTTCCTCTCTTTCCCACACAATCACTCCAGGGTTTTCCTCTATTTCCCCTCAATCCCTTTGGGATTTTCCTCTATTTCCCACAAAATCACTTTGGAGTTTTCCTTCACCCCCCCGTTGCTGAGGGACATCAAATCCAACACTTCCCAGCTTTTTCCCTCCGGGAATGCCGACGCTCCACCGGAGCCATGAACGTCCGGTGATGGAAGGGGTGTTTTGGTGCCAAACTGCCCCAAAACGCTCCTTTTCCCCCCAAACCGATGCCCAAAAGCCAAGGATGAGGCCTTGGAGGTCCTGCCCAGCCCAGGGATTCTCCAGAGACCCCCCCAGGGAATGGGGCTGGAGCGGGGCCGTGCCCATCCCGGGGTTTAATTAACACCTCAATTAACATCCCGGGGCTTAATTAACGCCCCAATTAACCGCTCCGGCGGCAGGGAAGGTGACAGCGGTCCCGGGGCTGGCAGAGCCGGGCGTTCCCCCCCCGGAATTCCGTGGGAACGGGGGCCTGTCCGTACCTGCTTCCTTCCGCGCGCGGCCCCGTCCCTTGGTCTGGGCGATGACGATTTCCGTCTCCTCCTGGCTCATCTCCGAGATCTTCTGCAGGAAAAGCTTTTCCAGAGCTTCCGCCATTAAGACGATGTCGTCCCCCGGCTGCAGGACACAGGGAGAGCGGGAATCAGGCCGGGAGGGCGCTTCCGGGTGGGAATTCCCAGGGGAAAGGCCCACGGGATCGGCCCCGCGCTCCGGGGAATCCGGACCCTCAACTCAATCCAACCCCTCCAGCTCAGCATTCCATAGTATCCCTGGCTTTTCCCTGCTGACTTCCAAAGACTGTGTCGTCCCCCGGCTGCAGGACACAGGGAGAGCGGGAATCGGGCCAGGAGGGCGTTTCCAGGCGGGAATTCCCAGGGGAAAGGCCCACGGGATCGGCCCCGCGCTCCGGGGAATCCGAACCCTCGGCTCCTGGGGTTTTACAGGGAAAAGCAGGGAGTGGGCAGGGACGGAGAACGACCCAACACGGGGTTGTTCTGCCCAGGCCAGAGGCGCTTTTCCAAGTGGGAGAGGGAAAAGAGGGAAAAGAGGGATTTTCCTCTATTTCCCACACAATCCCTTTGGGATTCTCCTCTATTATTTCCCACACAATCCTTTAGGATTTTCCTCTATTTCCCACACAATCCTTTGGGATTTTCCTCTATTATTTCCCACCCAATCCTTTGGGATTTTCCTCTATTATTTCCCACACAATCCTTTGGGATTTTCCTCTATTTCCCACACAATCCTTTGGGATTTTCCTCTATTATTTCCCACCCAATCCTTTGGGATTTTTCTCTATTTCCCACACAATCCTTTGGGATTTTCCTCTATTATTTCCCACACAATCCTTTGGGATTTTCCTCTATTTCCCACACAATCCTTTGGGATTTTCCTCTATTATTTCCCACCCAATCCTTTGGGATTTTTCTCTATTATTTTCCACCCAATCCCTTTGG